GCCGTATTTCCCGCCCCTGCGAGGAGGGCCTCCCGGGCCGGCTCCACGGGTGCGCACCCCGGCGGGGGGGGCTTTCCCGCGCCGACCTCGCGTGCGGCATGTCGCCCGGGCGCGCCCCCGCTCCGGGACCGGGCCAACGACCCGAAGGCGGCCTGTCTGCTTCGGGAGGACCACACCGTGCGCGACCATGGCGCCCCCCGGCCGGGGGCGGAGGCCGAGCGCACTCTGCCCGCGCATGTCGCCCGGCAGGCGGGGACAAGGCGGCCGGCCGGCGATGGTGCGCTCGCCCATGCCCGCACGGGGGGCACCAGTGCGCCGGGTGTCGCCGGCGGCCGGTGGCCGGCAATGGCCGCCGGAGGCACTCGCGACCGGCCGCCCCCCTCTGGGGCGAGCCGATCTGCCCGGCCCGTCGGTGGCGGACCCGGCGATGCCGATGAGCGGGCCCGGCCCGGGCGGCCGGCAGATCTTAGCCCCCCGGCCTCGGGCCCGGAGGCGGGCCGGGCCCGCGCGATCGCCCGCCCCCGGCCCGGGCCCGCTGGAGGCCCTGCCCGGCCGCGGGCGCATGTGCGTGTGTGCGGGCGCACCCTCCACGATGCCGTGCCCGTGCCCCGGCCGTGGGATCGCCCGGCCGGCGGTTGCCCCGGGCCGGCGCCCCGCGGCCGAGTCCCCCCCCCCCCCCCCCCGCTGCACCCACTCGGCACCAACAAAGCGCGAGGGGAGCAACCCTGCTTGGCTTGCAGGGCGCGCCCTGCCGCCCCGTGGGCCCAGGGGGGCCGGCGCGAGCAGCCCTCACACCTGCCCGCCGGGCGCGGCACCAAGCACGGCTGCCAGCCCCTCCCGCGGCCCGCGCGGCCAAACGCCCTGCCCGGCGCCCGGGCACAGCCGCACCGCAGGCACACATGGGCCGTGCGCGGGCGACACCCCGAGCAGGCGTGCGCCTCGGCCCTGCCAGTCCCCTCCCCGCGCCCTGGCCCGAGGGGCGGGGCCGCTGGCTTTTCCGGCGCCCAGCAGGCCCCCATGCCCGGGCGGCATGCCTCGACACCGCCTCACGTGTGCTCTTCCGATCTCGCACCGCAGGCACACATGGGCCGTGCGCGGGCGACACCCCGAGCAGGCGTGCGCCTCGGCCCTGCCAGTCCCCTCCCCGCGCCCTGGCCCGAGGGGCGGGGCCGCTGGCTTTTCCGGCGCCCAGCAGGCCCCCATGCCCGGGCGGCATGCCTCGACACCGCCTCCCCTCCATGCCTCCGCGCCTTCTCTCTCTCTCTCTCTCTCGCTCTCTCGCTCGGCCTGCCGGGCCGTCTGCACCCAGGCCCTCGCTTTAACTGCCCCTCGCGAGCGCCATCCCCCGACCCATGGGCGGACTGCCGCGCGCGGCCCGGCCGCCGGCGTCGCCTCGGCCGCCGGCAATCGGGCTGCTGCTGCTGCTGCTGCCGCTGCAGATCGGAAGAGCACACGTATCCCCCGACCACGTGTGCTCTTCCGATCTCCGGCGCCCAGCAGGCCCCCATGCCCGGGCGGCATGCCTCGACACCGCCTCCCCTCCATGCCTCCGCGCCTTCTCTCTCTCTCTCTCTCTCGCTCTCTCGCTCGGCCTGCCGGGCCGTCTGCACCCAGGCCCTCGCTTTAACTGCCCCTCGCGAGCGCCATCCCCCGACCCATGGGCGGACTGCCGCGCGCGGCCCGGCCGCCGGCGTCGCCTCGGCCGCCGGCAATCGGGCTGCTGCTGCTGCTGCTGCCGCTGCTGCTGGCGTCGCCTGCCCGCGCGGGCGCGGCGCCCCCCGCCGAGCCGGTGACCCTCCGGCGCTCGGCCGCCCCCACGTGCCCCACGCTCCCGGACGACCTGCTGGCCGGGCTGCCGGTGGCCTTTGCGGCTGCCGGCTGGGGCCACCTCGGCGCCCTGTGCCA